CTCACTTGATCAACATCAGCAGCTGTTCGTAAAGGATCGAATATGACAGGACCCTTGCCTTTAACGATGTCAAAAGGTATGTTCATCCCTGATAGCGAGGTGAGGATGTCTGAGAACAAAATGACCTGCAACAACAATGAATATGACAAAAATAAATAAAGGTAATAGTTCATGTCTATGTAAAAAAATAGGATTATATCAGTCAGCATGTAGTACAAAAAAAAAAATATTTTGTTCACCACCAGCACTTTGGAAGCATGGTGTTTCTATTTACAAATGATTGAAATTAAAGGTAAAAAGACTGTGTGAGTTGTGTATATTAGCCCATCAAGTGCTCAAGCATAAAAAATCTAGTATGATTTCCAGAAAGCATCTTACCCCATCAGGCTTAAAAATTTCCCATGGTTGTAGAGAAATTTCCACCACAAGATTGACATTTTCTGATCTTTCACGAAAAGATGGATACTTCTCACAGAGAATTTGGTAGCTCTGTCACAAGATATACAAACGAAATGAGATCCAAGTTTGAACCTAGCATATACAGGCACTCTTAAATAGGATAAAAACAGGTAACCAGGTTATTAACTGCAATCCTCTCCATTGGGAAAAAGAAAAAAATATAATAAATGCTAATCAAGAAAGTCAAATACTACACCACGGGGATTGCAAAAGCCAAAAACATAATAACTATCAGGTGTTTCCTTTAGGCAAATTTTATCTTAGTATGTAAACGCATGTCATGGACCTTTTCAGAGGCACATTATCACATTCTTGAGAGCTGAAGAACATTGGTGTGCTAGAGAAAAAACTTTATCCCACGACAAAGAGTATATAGTTCAATGCTTTCCAACAGTCACATCCTCCTCCAAAGCAAGATTGAATAGCAGGAAATACATAATGCAAATTCAGAAATATGTAGTCTCAATTTTGATATAGTCTTTCATCTAGCCCCATAACAAAGCAGGATAAAACATAGTAATTGCCTTCTCTTATGAGGAGCTGACCTTTATGCACATATCAATCTCTGTGGATGCAAAGACATATTATGCACATAAAAGAGACAGAAAATCTATTTGACCAGCTAAAGCAGAAAACTAGACATCGCATTTCATATCCCTTCATCCTAAATGAAGTTTCAAACGAAATTTAGAAAACATGAGGCATTGGTGAAATTACCCAAGACAGTTGATGAATAAACGTAAAACTAAATTTTAGAAACCCATTTCAAAACTGTAGCCAAATAAACCTGCCTTCATGTACCTCCCAGCTTGTCTCATTAGCCAAACAGGGGGTCTTTCCACTTCTTCCCCACGAACAGCATTAAGGAGCAATGGTTCAGTTGCAGTGATAAGTTTTGGTTCTGCAACAGTCCCTGGAAAATAAACCCGAAAGAGAGATGCAAAATATTCCCATATTAAGCTTACTCATCATAGATCACAGAAATAAAAAGCTTACCCATCAAGGGGGTGCAAATGAAGTAAAAATCCAATACAAATGTAAGAATAAGAGAATGAGAGCGTTACAATCTATCTCACATGACGATCTGAGAAATTTGTAAACACCCAAAGGAAAGAGAAAAGCTCGCATTGTGATTTAATGAACCAACAACACCTGTAACTGTAACAATTGCATTTGGAGGAATAATCAAAATACCAACATATCCAATCTTCAATCTCAATTCCAAGGCACAAATTCCATGTTTCCAAATGCAACATTAGTGTATGGGTCAATTTTGTATGAAAACTGTTACTGTAACAATTATATGTAGATGATTGGCTGTTTACTCTCTAACTTTTTGCTGCTATGCTTATTTTGCGGAGAAACTGAAACAGAAGATAGACAATGCATAATAACACCGAATAACGACATATAAAGCACGGATACGGATATGAGATACGGATACGATACAATACAAATATGACAAAATCTAAAAAAGTAGGATATAGATACGGTATGGGTACGTCTATAACAAAATATATTTTATATTTTTACTATTATGTACCGACTTAATAATTATATATTTTGGTAATTCTTTAACATAATAAGGAAAATTTGCAATTTTTTTATAGAAAAAAAAAGTATATAACATATCATTATGGTATTTTCACAAAAATGAAGTGACTAATTAAATGAATCAAAAGTAATATTTACTTAGTTGTCTTATTTAGAAGAATTTATAGCTAAGATTATAATGTAATAGATTTATTTTATTCTTTTTTGACTTGTAATACTAGATAAAACTTACAAAATACTCATTTCAACACAATATTCATGGATACGTAAGAGGAGTATCTGATACATATTCTCAAGTATCCGATGAATATCATATCCGATATGAGAACAACGATCTCACCGAAGTATCCGTGTTTCATAGATAATAACCCATGTTATCACTCTCTTTTTTTTTCATCATCCATAAAGTTATGTAAAATCAAAAGAATATGACTCCGTACACAATTAATTGAATTGATATACAGGCATTGTTCCTTTTGTATATAATGCAACTGTTTCTATATTTTGCCATAAATCCGTTGTTTGACATGCTCAACATACTGTACCTGATCAAAGTCCATTTTATCCTATCTATCCAACCAAAGTCTCAAGCTTAACACAGGAACACAAAGATGTATATAAAGTTGTGGTTGAAAGCATCGAATTTGACCCTCAGAAATGTGATTTGGGGAACAATTAGTTCCTAATTTGACGTATTTTTCCTCGAAATCACAATACCTCAATTCTATTCGGGCAAACAGAGCTCAAAAAATAATTGAAAACTGCCCAAAGTAACATTCAACAGCAAAATAACATATATTTCAGTAAAATCATCACATATACGGTAACGCAATTATCCATTTAGACATCAATTAGACCATGCGAAACGTTTCAATTGGTTTAGTCAATACCTAAGTTGAAACGTTTTGCATTAAACAAAAGAAAGAAAACTTACCACCAAGAGCGCAATAGACTCTGGGCCTTGAAGAGACTGAACGGGCACCAGTGAAGGGTATTGATTTGCGGGAAATGGAAACCGCAGAGGATGATGAGACTGAAGTGATGTAAAGGCAAGACATTTTTATCGAAAATTCTACCGAGATTTAAGCTATACACTTGAATCTGAAAGCTCTTCGCATCTCTCAAAGCTCGTCGGCCAGAAAAATCTCACTGTTCTTCCTCGTTTGTGAGCTGAAACGACAGAGAGAGTCTGTGTGTGTGTGTGTGTGTGTTTCTTCACTTTTGAGTGCGTGAGGATGGGAATGGACAAAAGACGGAAGATAAAGTGGATAAGGGGCAAATCTATCCTACTGGTACTACCGTTCGGATTCGGATCTCTAAAAAAAGGGGTGACCAACCCGACCACCCGTGGAGGAAATAAGACCCAACAGCCCTTTTTTTGTGGGCCTGGACTTGGTTCCTAGCAGCCCATTGCAATGTTTTAGTGGGCCCCACAGGTCTGCAGAGGAACTCAATATAATTAGGTGCAACAATTCTAAATACAAGAATTCTACACAAAATTAAAATGAAAATAACCAATTTAAATATAGTCTTAGTTGAATTAAATAATAAACGTGTAGATATGTAAGACTCGATAAACATATAGTTCGACACGAACTCAACCTATGGGCCGATAATTACCAGACTTTCACAATAGCCCATGGGCTGTGGGCTATTGACTGGGCCTCAGCAGTGACCAATCTAAATTCGGCAGTACTTAACAACCCGACATAGTCCAAATATTGAAACTGGGTTGATGGTTGCACCTGGACCTTTCTCGGTTTCAGTGTATTAGAGAGTCGGCTAAAACCTAAAGGAGCTTGTGGCCCTGCTCTTTGTACATGAAAGTCCCCTCTTCCTCTCATCTATCATCCTCCTCTTCTTCGTCGTCGTCTTTTTTCTTGTGGCCGAGNATTACATACATATTAATTTTACTTAAAAGTTAATAATAACCCAACGTGTATGAAGACGAGACTTACTTACACTTGAACGGATCCGAAAAGAAAAATATTGAAATAGATCTCACTCTCCTTCAAAGTTCATGCACATGAAAATGACAACAACCATAATAAGTTTCATCCAGTGTTAATTGCTCCACTTTTTTTTTACTTGAAAATGTCTATAGTTTTAGACAGGGCAAACAATTTACCGGATCAAATNATGCACATGAAAATGACAACAACCATAATAAGTTTCATCCAGTGTTAATTGCTCCACCTTTTTTTTACTTGAAAATGTCTATAGTTTTAGACAGGGCAAACAATTTACCGGATCAAAANACCCCTCAATATAGAGATTGGTACTATTCTGAAATTTATAACCAAAAAAAAAACTTATATCTCACTACAACTTAAAAAATCAGTACTACCTTACTAGAATCAGCTTAAAATTCAAATAAAAGATGAGTTAAATGTTAAAATCGATCTCAAACAGTGTCATTTTATTGTGACATTGAAGTAATTTTCAATACTTAAACACTCCAAACACTCTAGTAATAACTTGTACATGAAATGTTGTGATTTTAGTCAACGAATAGCCCTTTAAAAAAGAGTGTTGTCATATAACAATAANTTTATAATTATTATATCTAAGTCATGTATTCTCAAGTTCATATCATGAATGAATCATATTTAGTGAACTCAGTGTNTTTATAATTATTATATCTAAGTCATGTATTCTCAAGTTCATATCATGAATGAATCATCATATTTAGTGAACTCAGTGCNCCTTTAAAAAAGAGTGTTGTCATATAACAATAAGTTTGTCAATGGATCGAATTTTGATTTGAATTCGATCTAAATCCGAATTCAATTAGCCGAATATAGACTGATATTTTTTACTTATTATCCGAACCCGAACTCGCATCTAAATCCGATATCCTATATTTTGTGGGTTTGAATTTGGATATATCTATAGCCGATTCGATTAATTCANTTGAAATTAACCAGATTCGTGCTGATTATTTTGTTGACATGTCTAATAAATGCACCCAAATCCGCTAAAGTGAAGTCCAAACCTACTAATTTAGTATCAGTTTTGTGTTGTTGGATTTACAGGTAGGATCTACAATTGTCAGGCATGCCTGAAATCAACAGTAATAGTGGAAACTTGGATTGTTAGGTTGAATGCTCTTAAATGTTCTTCATACTGAATCCGTACAATAGCACAAAAGAATAAACAAAAGCCGAGGGAAGAAAAAATAACTGCTAAACAAAAACAGAAAATCACCCACTACATCAGCTTTTAGTATCTGATTCCTTTAGCAACCTCAAAGAAATGAGCAACATTTTCCTCTGGTGTACCAACTACAATGCCATGGCCAAGATTCAAAATATGTTTCCGATTCCCCGCTTTCGTCACTGTGTCGTTTATCCGACTGGTGATGAACTCTTTCGAGCCAAAAAGAACGCCAGGATCCACGTTCCCTTGTACCGCTACATCAGGTCCCAATCGTCTCCGACCTTCAGCCATATCAACTGTCCAATCCAAGCTCACCACATCAACGCCCGTCAACGGCAGTCTCTCAATCAAACCTCCTGATCCACTTGCATAAAGGATCAATGGGAGATTTGGATGGGTTAGTTTTACAGAATCCACTATCTGCTTTAAGTAAGGCAGACTGAACTCTTCAAAATCCACTGGGCTAAGCTCCGTGGCCCACGAGTCAAAGATCTGAACGGCTTGAGCTCCATTGTCGGCTTGGTACTTGATATACTCCGCCATGGAGGTTGCAAATTTTTGCAGTAGTGCATGGAGGACCTACAGGGAAAAAAGATAAGGGAAAAGCAAAAGGCAAAACAAGATAAGGGAACTCCTTTTTATCACATAATGATGATAATCAATATATAAAGATAAACATATGTCTGCCAAGTGACAAATATCATTTCTACAAGATGCCATTTAGGGTGGTGTCACATTGATTTTTCTCCAAGAACTCATTAAAAGAAGTAAGAGTTCCAACATAAAACCATAAATAGACTGGCAGAATTTCTCCCCCCCCCCCGGCGCAGGGTAACCAGCAGAATGTTCCAATATGAAAAGCTACCATGACTTGCCTACAGCCTCGGGTATCAAGCCATGTACTCCAAGACACCTAAACTAAAAGCACAATTATTTCTGGGATTAAATAAAAATGATCCACAATTACCAGTAAAACACCACAAATTACGAGTGCATGACATTAATAGTGCATGACCACCTAATTCGGTACCTCTTTGTTGTCCCCCACCCAACTGCAGCAACCCACTTACGATGACACAACGAAAGAAAAAAAAGAAAAACCAACATCCACCAAAGAAGAAAAGAGATCCAAAATAGTCTAAAATCATCGGGTCCAACGGTCTTCTCAATCATCCCAAGTTTCATATTCCAAGGCAGATTTAACTTTAACCTTACCCGCATTATGAGATTTGTCACCAACAGCTATCATATGGTAGGTCCTACAATCATGGGTGGTTCTCACGCTGATAAATAATCATAATGGCACTTCCCTTACCTCTGTTATTTTGGGGTCAAATGTTACTCTCTCTTTCCTGCTCCTTCAAACACAGAAGACATCCATCCTTTTTGAGCCCCTATTAGCTTTTTTACTCAGCCTTCAATTATTAGTAGGGAAGTTAAATATCAATTCCCTGTCTTCAAGCAAGATAGAAACCTATTCCATTTATGACCTGAGCAAACATTAATTAGTGGGTGGGCCTATTGCAGTAAACCTTTGCGACTCTCATAATGAGAACCAATTTTGAAATCAGTGCACTTTTATGTATACCTCTGAACTATAGATCTGTCTGCAATAAACCTCTAGCGGTGAAACAGTTCCAAGTTGCATTTTCACAAATATGCAGTTCTGTTGACTTGGTAGTCCTATAGCACAGGACAGTCATATTACCTTGGGCTGTGAGAAAGCTAGCCTCTTTATTTGGGTAAAATGCTTTGATGAGCCACCTTCAACCACATATGATGCCAGGGTGAAAGGAGCCCCAACAAATCCCAACACTGCTGCTTTGTTATTTACCTGATATAGTATAGAAAAGGGTGAATACAGTCAATATCTTAAGACAAACCACAATAGAGCATTGAATACACTACTACATTTTCAAGTCCCTCGAAGATATGCAGATTGAAGCAAAAGAAAGGTTGTAACACTTAGATATATATGTTTTCTCCTAACATAGAGAAACGATAAGGTCTGTAAGATAAGTGCCATCTCAGACACGAAGAAAACCAAAGGTAGTGCTAGTCCATAACTTTCAAGGTCCGAACAGGTGATGTAATAAGAATTCTCATGTCGCTGCATGAATAATATATGATTTGGACAATGATCATGACAAAGAAAGTATCCTTTTCTCTCAAGCTTTTAGATTCCTCGGACCCAAAAAAAACCACTTTTATTCGATGTCTATGCGAATAGGTAATCCCTTAAATTTTAATGGGTATTGTCCATAGTTATCAAAATCGTACAATTCGCGATTCGATTCGTACGATTCAGTTCGATACAGGTACAAAACAATTCATATTTTATATAAGAATCATTTTAGACTTGAATCGCACCTGAATCGTACGATTCGATTAGTATAGCATGAATCGTACAATTTAATCACTTTTTTTTAATACCTAAAATTTTGCCAAAATGATGTCGTTTTGTCCGTTAAACAGTAAAACGACGTTATTTTGTTTGCAGAGGAATTCACGCCCGAATAAAAACTCAACCTCTTTGCTCGTTCTTTCTCTGACATCGTCCAAAACTCGCCTTGCGTTGTCTAAAGTTAAAGGTCACGGCTAACGGTCTCGCATCATCGGTTGATTTTTGCTCTCAATTCTTTCAGGAATAATTTGTTAGATTCTAATTTTTTGTTTCAAAATGTTGGCTTGTATGTTTTCTCCCAATCAATTTTTTTATTTATTCTTTTTCTATTCATGTTTGTAACTTAATCTATACTGAATATCACTATTTTAGTTTTTGAATAGTCATGGTTCTTTAATAAATTTTTTTTTCAAGTTGTTGAATTTGAAAATGGTTAAGCAAAAAATGAAAATGAAAATGAAGCAAAAGACTAGCGACTTTCCATTTAAACGACATGATTATGTCAATTGATTATTTTTAGAATGCAATAATATTCAATATTCAATATTTTGTCTATTTTAAATATGTAGTATTATTTTTTATGTTTGCTCAAATTTTATGTTGAATCTTACGATTCACGATTTTTAAATTTAGGATTCCAATTCACGATACGAATCGTGGTTCGACAACTATGGTATTGACTATTGTCTATGAAATTACAAAAAAAATGAGTTTGGAATTCATTTCCCTAAAACCCTCAGTTCATTCAGAAAACTACAATGAGTTTCTGTCTCAAGTACTGAATAGCCTAAATCAGAATGGTGCATAGAGAGCAGACCAAGAGAAACAGTAAGAGTATGAATTCAGAAGAAAAGACCTCTTTTCGCAAGATTGTCAATGCTTCCCCAACATATGGAACTGATTCTGCAGGAACAAATTCTCTCACTTGATCAACATCAGCAGCTGTTCGTAAAGGATCGAATATGACAGGACCCTTGCCTTTAACGATGTCAAAAGGTATGTTCATCCCTGATAGCGAGGTGAGGATGTCTGAGAACAAAATGACCTGCAACAACAATGAATATGACAAAAATAAATAAAGGTAATAGTTCATGTCTATGTAAAAAAATAGGATTATATCAGTCAGCATGTAGTACAAAAAAAAAAATATTTTGTTCACCACCAGCACTTTGGAAGCATGGTGTTTCTATTTACAAATGATTGAAATTAAAGGTAAAAAGACTGTGTGAGTTGTGTATATTAGCCCATCAAGTGCTCAAGCATAAAAAATCTAGTATGATTTCCAGAAAGCATCTTACCCCATCAGGCTTAAAAATTTCCCATGGTTGTAGAGAAATTTCCACCACAAGATTGACATTTTCTGATCTTTCACGAAAAGATGGATACTTCTCACAGAGAATTTGGTAGCTCTGTCACAAGATATACAAACGAAATGAGATCCAAGTTTGAACCTAGCATATACAGGCACTCTTAAATAGGATAAAAACAGGTAACCAGGTTATTAACTGCAATCCTCTCCATTGGGAAAAAGAAAAAAATATAATAAATGCTAATCAAGAAAGTCAAATACTACACCACGGGGATTGCAAAAGCCAAAAACATTAATAACTATCAGGTGTTTCCTTTAGGCAAATTTTATCTTAGTATGTAAACGCATGTCATGGACCTTTTCAGAGGCACATTATCACATTCTTGAGAGCTGAAGAACATTGGTGTGCTAGAGAAAAAACTTTATCCCACGACAAAGAGTATATAGTTCAATGCTTTCCAACAGTCACATCCTCCTCCAAAGCAAGATTGAATAGCAGGAAATACATAATGCAAATTCAGAAATATGTAGTCTCAATTTTGATATAGTCTTTCATCTAGCCCCATAACAAAGCAGGATAAAACATAGTAATTGCCTTCTCTTATGAGGAGCTGACCTTTATGCACATATCAATCTCTGTGGATGCAAAGACATATTATGCACATAAAAGAGACAGAAAATCTATTTGACCAGCTAAAGCAGAAAACTAGACATCGCATTTCATATCCCTTCATCCTAAATGAAGTTTCAAACGAAATTTAGAAAACATGAGGCATTGGTGAAATTACCCAAGACAGTTGATGAATAAACGTAAAACTAAATTTTAGAAACCCATTTCAAAACTGTAGCCAAATAAACCTGCCTTCATGTACCTCCCAGCTTGTCTCATTAGCCAAACAGGGGGTCTTTCCACTTCTTCCCCACGAACAGCATTAAGGAGCAATGGTTCAGTTGCAGTGATAAGTTTTGGTTCTGCAACAGTCCCTGGAAAATAAACCCGAAAGAGAGATGCAAAATATTCCCATATTAAGCTTACTCATCATAGATCACAGAAATAAAAAGCTTACCCATCAAGGGGGTGCAAATGAAGTAAAAATCCAATACAAATGTAAGAATAAGAGAATGAGAGCGTTACAATCTATCTCACATGACGATCTGAGAAATTTGTAAACACCCAAAGGAAAGAGAAAAGCTCGCATTGTGATTTAATGAACCAACAACACCTGTAACTGTAACAATTGCATTTGGAGGAATAATCAAAATACCAACATATCCAATCTTCAATCTCAATTCCAAGGCACAAATTCCATGTTTCCAAATGCAACATTAGTGTATGGGTCAATTTTGTATGAAAACTGTTACTGTAACAATTATATGTAGATGATTGGCTGTTTACTCTCTAACTTTTTGCTGCTATGCTTATTTTGCGGAGAAACTGAAACAGAAGATAGACAATGCATAATAACACCGAATAACGACATATAAAGCACGGATACGGATATGAGATACGGATACGATACAATACAAATATGACAAAATCTAAAAAAGTAGGATATAGATACGGTATGGGTACGTCTATAACAAAATATATTTTATATTTTTACTATTATGTACCGACTTAATAATTATATATTTTGGTAATTCTTTAACATAATAAGGAAAATTTGCAATTTTTTTATAGAAAAAAAAAGTATATAACATATCATTATGGTATTTTCACAAAAATGAAGTGACTAATTAAATGAATCAAAAGTAATATTTACTTAGTTGTCTTATTTAGAAGAATTTATAGCTAAGATTATAATGTAATAGATTTATTTTATTCTTTTTTGACTTGTAATACTAGATAAAACTTACAAAATACTCATTTCAACACAATATTCATGGATACGTAAGAGGAGTATCTGATACATATTCTCAAGTATCCGATGAATATCATATCCGATATGAGAACAACGATCTCACCGAAGTATCCGTGTTTCATAGATAATAACCCATGTTATCACTCTCTTTTTTTTTCATCATCCATAAAGTTATGTAAAATCAAAAGAATATGACTCCGTACACAATTAATTGAATTGATATACAGGCATTGTTCCTTTTGTATATAATGCAACTGTTTCTATATTTTGCCATAAATCCGTTGTTTGACATGCTCAACATACTGTACCTGATCAAAGTCCATTTTATCCTATCTATCCAACCAAAGTCTCAAGCTTAACACAGGAACACAAAGATGTATATAAAGTTGTGGTTGAAAGCATCGAATTTGACCCTCAGAAATGTGATTTGGGGAACAATTAGTTCCTAATTTGACGTATTTTTCCTCGAAATCACAATACCTCAATTCTATTCGGGCAAACAGAGCTCAAAAAATAATTGAAAACTGCCCAAAGTAACATTCAACAGCAAAATAACATATATTTCAGTAAAATCATCACATATACGGTAACGCAATTATCCATTTAGACATCAATTAGACCATGCGAAACGTTTCAATTGGTTTAGTCAATACCTAAGTTGAAACGTTTTGCATTAAACAAAAGAAAGAAAACTTACCACCAAGAGCGCAATAGACTCTGGGCCTTGAAGAGACTGAACGGGCACCAGTGAAGGGTATTGATTTGCGGGAAATGGAAACCGCAGAGGATGATGAGACTGAAGTGATGTAAAGGCAAGACATTTTTATCGAAAATTCTACCGAGATTTAAGCTATACACTTGAATCTGAAAGCTCTTCGCATCTCTCAAAGCTCGTCGGCCAGAAAAATCTCACTGTTCTTCCTCGTTTGTGAGCTGAAACGACAGAGAGAGTCTGTGTGTGTGTGTGTGTGTGTTTCTTCACTTTTGAGTGCGTGAGGATGGGAATGGACAAAAGACGGAAGATAAAGTGGATAAGGGGCAAATCTATCCTACTGGTACTACCGTTCGGATTCGGATCTCTAAAAAAAGGGGTGACCAACCCGACCACCCGTGGAGGAAATAAGACCCAACAGCCCTTTTTTTGTGGGCCTGGACTTGGTTCCTAGCAGCCCATTGCAATGTTTTAGTGGGCCCCACAGGTCTGCAGAGGAACTCAATATAATTAGGTGCAACAATTCTAAATACAAGAATTCTACACAAAATTAAAATGAAAATAACCAATTTAAATATAGTCTTAGTTGAATTAAATAATAAACGTGTAGATATGTAAGACTCGATAAACATATAGTTCGACACGAACTCAACCTATGGGCCGATAATTACCAGACTTTCACAATAGCCCATGGGCTGTGGGCTATTGACTGGGCCTCAGCAGTGACCAATCTAAATTCGGCAGTACTTAACAACCCGACATAGTCCAAATATTGAAACTGGGTTGATGGTTGCACCTGGACCTTTCTCGGTTTCAGTGTATTAGAGAGTCGGCTAAAACCTAAAGGAGCTTGTGGCCCTGCTCTTTGTACATGAAAGTCCCCTCTTCCTCTCATCTATCATCCTCCTCTTCTTCGTCGTCGTCTTTTTTCTTGTGGCCGAGTACACAACAAAAGGTTGACAATCTATAGTACCATGATAAGAAGGATAACCCCTCAATATAGAGATTGGTACTATTCTGAAATTTATAACCAAAAAAAAAACTTATATCTCACTACAACTTAAAAAATCAGTACTACCTTACTAGAATCAGCTTAAAATTCAAATAAAAGATGAGTTAAATGTTAAAATCGATCTCAAACAGTGTCATTTTATTGTGACATTGAAGTAATTTTCAATACTTAAACACTCCAAACACTCTAGTAATAACTTGTACATGAAATGTTGTGATTTTAGTCAACGAATAGCCCTTTAAAAAAGAGTGTTGTCATATAACAATAAGTTTGTCAATGGATCGAATTTTGATTTGAATTCGATCTAAATCCGAATTCAATTAGCCGAATATAGACTGATATTTTTTACTTATTATCCGAACCCGAACTCGCATCTAAATCCGATATCCTATATTTTGTGGGTTTGAATTTGGATATATCTATAGCCGATTCGATTAATTCAAAATATTTATAGTTTTTTTGTATAAATATTAAAGTAATTAAGTGATTATTTGAAGAAATTTAATTAAAATTTAGATATAATATGTTAAAATTTAATTAAATTAAGTTATTCGAATCAGATCAAATTTTTAGATTGTTAATAGATTTGCATAAGAACCACGAAAATAAAATCCGTTAAATTATCGATTCAGACTTTAAATTCAAATCAATCAAAGTTTGATCCAAACTCAATCCGGACCAACATTGCTGGTCACTGCACATCAACCACAAATAACAATAATTATAGAAACTAATTAAATAAAAAAAAATGTAAAAGCAATTTCGAGGCAAAAGATCANCGAAAAAATAACTGCTAAACAAAAACAGAAAATCACCCACTACATCAGCTTTTAGTATCTGATTCCTTTAGCAACCTCAAAGAAATGAGCAACATTTTCCTCTGGTGTACCAACTACAATGCCATGGCCAAGATTCAAAATATGTTTCCGATTCCCCGCTTTCGTCACTGTGTCGTTTATCCGACTGGTGATGAACTCTTTCGAGCCAAAAAGAACGCCAGGATCCACGTTCCCTTGTACCGCTACATCAGGTCCCAATCGTCTCCGACCTTCAGCCATATCAACTGTCCAATCCAAGCTCACCACATCAACGCCCGTCAACGGCAGTCTCTCAATCAAACCTCCTGATCCACTTGCATAAAGGATCAATGGGAGATTTGGATGGGTTAGTTTTACAGAATCCACTATCTGCTTTAAGTAAGGCAGACTGAACTCTTCAAAATCCACTGGGCTAAGCTCCGTGGCCCACGAGTCAAAGATCTGAACGGCTTGAGCTCCATTGTCGGCTTGGTACTTGATATACTCCGCCATGGAGGTTGCAAATTTTTGCAGTAGTGCATGGAGGACCTACAGGGAAAAAAGATAAGGGAAAAGCAAAAGGCAAAACAAGATAAGGGAACTCCTTTTTATCACATAATGATGATAATCAATATATAAAGATAAACATATGTCTGCCAAGTGACAAATATCATTTCTACAAGATGCCATTTAGGGTGGTGTCACATTGATTTTTCTCCAAGAACTCATTAAAAGAAGTAAGAGTTCCAACATAAAACCATAAATAGACTGGCAGAATTTCTCCCCCCCCCCCGGCGCAGGGTAACCAGCAGAATGTTCCAATATGAAAAGCTACCATGACTTGCCTACAGCCTCGGGTATCAAGCCATGTACTCCAAGACACCTAAACTAAAAGCACAATTATTTCTGGGATTAAATAAAAATGATCCACAATTACCAGTAAAACACCACAAATTACGAGTGCATGACATTAATAGTGCATGACCACCTAATTCGGTACCTCTTTGTTGTCCCCCACCCAACTGCAGCAACCCACTTACGATGACACAACGAAAGAAAAAAAAGAAAAACCAACATCCACCAAAGAAGAAAAGAGATCCAAAATAGTCTAAAATCATCGGGTCCAACGGTCTTCTCAATCATCCCAAGTTTCATATTCCAAGGCAGATTTAACTTTAACCTTACCCGCATTATGAGATTTGTCACCAACAGCTATCATATGGTAGGTCCTACAATCATGGGTGGTTCTCACGCTGATAAATAATCATAATGGCACTTCCCTTACCTCTGTTATTTTGGGGTCAAATGTTACTCTCTCTTTCCTGCTCCTTCAAACACAGAAGACATCCATCCTTTTTGAGCCCCTATTAGCTTTTTTACTCAGCCTTCAATTATTAGTAGGGAAGTTAAATATCAATTCCCTGTCTTCAAGCAAGATAGAAACCTATTCCATTTATGACCTGAGCAAACATTAATTAGTGGGTGGGCCTATTGCAGTAAACCTTTGCGACTCTCATAATGAGAACCAATTTTGAAATCAGTGCACTTTTATGTATACCTCTGAACTATAGATCTGTCTGCAATAAACCTCTAGCGGTGAAACAGTTCCAAGTTGCATTTTCACAAATATGCAGTTCTGTTGACTTGGTAGTCCTATAGCACAGGACAGTCATATTACCTTGGGCTGTGAGAAAGCTAGCCTCTTTATTTGGGTAAAATGCTTTGATGAGCCACCTTCAACCACATATGATGCCAGGGTGAAAGGAGCCCCAACAAATCCCAACACTGCTGCTTTGTTATTTACCTGATATAGTATAGAAAAGGGTGAATACAGTCAATATCTTAAGACAAACCACAATAGAGCATTGAATACACTACTACATTTTCAAGTCCCTCGAAGATATGCAGATTGAAGCAAAAGAAAGTTTGTAACACTTAGATATATATGTTTTCTCCTAACATAGAGAAACGATAAGGTCTGTAAGATAAGTGCCATCTCAGACACGAAGAAAACCAAAGGTAGTGCTAGTCCATAACTTTCAAGGTCCGAACAGGTGATGTAATAAGAATTCTCATGTCGCTGCATGAATAATATATGATTTGGACAATGATCATGACAAAGAAAGTATCCTTTTCTCTCAAGCTTTTAGATTCCTCGGACCCAAAAAAAACCACTTTTATTCGATGTCTATGCGAATAGGTAATCCCTTAAATTTTAATGGGTATTGTCCATAGTTATCAAAATCGTACAATTCGCGATTCGATTCGTACGATTCAGTTCGATACAGGTACAAAACAATTCATATTTTATATAAGAATCATTTTAGACTTGAATCGCACCTGAATCGTACGATTCGATTAGTATAGCATGAATCGTACAATTTAATCACTTTTTTTTAATACCTAAAATTTTGCCAAAATGATGTCGTTTTGTCCGTTAAACAGTAAAACGACGTTATTTTGTTTGCAGAGGAATTCACGCCCGAATAAAAACTCAACCTCTTTGCTCGTTCTTTCTCTGACATCGTCCAAAACTCGCCTTGCGTTGTCTAAAGTTAAAGGTCACGGCTAACGGTCTCGCATCATCGGTTGATTTTTGCTCTCAATTCTTTCAGGAATAATTTGTTAGATTCTAATTTTTTGTTTCAAAATGTTGGCTTGTATGTTTTCTCCCAATCAATTTTTTTATTTATTCTTTTTCTATTCATGTTTGTAACTTAATCTATACTGAATATCACTATTTTAGTTTTTGAATAGTCATGGTTCTTTAATAAATTTTTTTTTCAAGTTGTTGAATTTGAAAATGGTTAAGCAAAAAATGAAAATGAAAATGAAGCAAAAGACTAGCGACTTTCCATTTAAACGACATGATTATGTCAATTGATTATTTTTAGAATGCAATAATATTCAATATTCAATATTTTGTCTATTTTAAATATGTAGTATTATTTTTTATGTTTGCTCAAATTTTATGTTGAATCTTACGATTCACGATTTTTAAATTTAGGATTCCAATTCACGATACGAATCGTGGTTCGACAACTATGGTATTGACTATTGTCTATGAAATTACAAAAAAAATGAGTTTGGAATTCATTTCCCTAAAACCCTCAGTTCATTCAGAAAACTACAATGAGTTTCTGTCTCAAGTACTGAATAGCCTAAATCAGAATGGTGCATAGAGAGCAGACCAAGAGAAACAGTAAGAGTATGAATTCAGAAGAAAAGACCTCTTTTCGCAAGATTGTCAATGCTTCCCCAACATATGGAACTGATTCTGCAGGAACAAATTCTCTCACTTGATCAACATCAGCAGCTGTTCGTAAAGGATCGAATATGACAGGACCCTTGCCTTTAACGATGTCAAAAGGTATGTTCATCCCTGATAGCGAGGTGAGGATGTCTGAGAACAAAATGACCTGCAACAACAATGAATATGACAAAAATAAATAAAGGTAATAGTTCATGTCTATGTAAAAAAATAGGATTATATCAGTCAGCATGTAGTACAAAAAAAAAAATATTTTGTTCACCACCAGCACTTTGGAAGCATGGTGTTTCTATTTACAAATGATTGAAATTAAAGGTAAAAAGACTGTGTGAGTTGTGTATATTAGCCCATCAAGTGCTCAAGCATAAAAAATCTAGTATGATTTCCAGAAAGCATCTTACCCCATCAGGCTTAAAAATTTCCCATGGTTGTAGAGAAATTTCCACCACAAGATTGACATTTTCTGATCTTTCACGAAAAGATGGATACTTCTCACAGAGAATTTGGTAGCTCTGTCACAAGATATACAAACGAAATGAGATCCAAGTTTGAACCTAGCATATACAGGCACTCTTAAATAGGATAAAAACAGGTAACCAGGTTATTAACTGCAATCCTCTCCATTGGGAAAAAGAAAAAAATATAATAAATGCTAATCAAGAAAGTCAAATACTACACCACGGGGATTGCAAAAGCCAAAAACATAAATAACTATCAGGTGTTTCCTTTAGGCAAATTTTATCTTAGTATGTAAACGCATGTCATGGACCTTTTCAGAGGCACATTATCACATTCTTGAGAGCTGAAGAACATTGGTGTGCTAGAGAAAAAACTTTATCCCACGACAAAGAGTATATAGTTCAATGCTTTCCAACAGTCACATCCTCCTCCAAAGCAAGATTGAATAGCAGGAAATACATAATGCAAATTCAGAAATATGTAGTCTCAATTTTGATATAGTCTTTCATCTAGCCCCATAACAAAGCAGGATAAAACATAGTAATTGCCTTCTCTTATGAGGAGCTGACCTTTATGCACATATCAATCTCTGTGGATGCAAAGACATATTATGCACATAAAAGAGACAGAAAATCTATTTGACCAGCTAAAGCAGAAAACTAGACATCGCATTTCATATCCCTTCATCCTAAATGAAGTTTCAAACGAAATTTAGAAAACATGAGGCATTGGTGAAATTACCCAAGACAGTTGATGAATAAACGTAAAACTAAATTTTAGAAACCCATTTCAAAACTGTAGCCAAATAAACCTGCCTTCATGTACCTCCCAGCTTGTCTCATTAGCCAAACAGGGGGTCTTTCCACTTCTTCCCCACGAACAGCATTAAGGAGCAATGGTTCAGTTGCAGTGATAAGTTTTGGTTCTGCAACAGTCCCTGGAAAATAAACCCGAAAGAGAGATGCAAAATATTCCCATATTAAGCTTACTCATCATAGATCACAGAAATAAAAAGCTTACCCATCAAGGGGGTGCAAATGAAGTAAAAATCCAATACAAATGTAAGAATAAGAGAATGAGAGCGTTACAATCTATCTCACATGACGATCTGAGAAATTTGTAAACACCCAAAGGAAAGAGAAAAGCTCGCATTGTGATTTAATGAACCAACAACACCTGTAACTGTAACAATTGCATTTGGAGGAATAATCAAAATACCAACATATCCAATCTTCAATCTCAATTCCAAGGCACAAATTCCATGTTTCCAAATGCAACATTAGTGTATGGGTCAATTTTGTATGAAAACTGTTACTGTAACAATTATATGTAGATGATTGGCTGTTTACTCTCTAACTTTTTGCTGCTATGCTTATTTTGCGGAGAAACTGAAACAGAAGATAGACAATGCATAATAACACCGAATAACGACATATAAAGCACGGATACGGATATGAGATACGGATACGATACAATACAAATATGACAAAATCTAAAAAAGTAGGATATAGATACGGTATGGGTACGTCTATAACAAAATATATTTTATATTTTTACTATTATGTACCGACTTAATAATTATATATTTTGGTAATTCTTTAACATAATAAGGAAAATTTGCAATTTTTTTATAGAAAAAAAAAGTATATAACATATCATTATGGTATTTTCACAAAAATGAAGTGACTAATTAAATGAATCAAAAGTAATATTTACTTAGTTGTCTTATTTAGAAGAATTTATAGCTAAGATTATAATGTAATAGATTTATTTTATTCTTTTTTGACTTGTAATACTAGATAAAACTTACAAAATACTCATTTCAACACAATATTCATGGATACGTAAGAGGAGTATCTGATACATATTCTCAAGTATCCGATGAATATCATATCCGATATGAGAACAACGATCTCACCGAAGTATCCGTGTTTCATAGATAATAACCCATGTTATCACTCTCTTTTTTTTTCATCATCCATAAAGTTATGTAAAATCAAAAGAATATGACTCCGTACACAATTAATTGAATTGATATACAGGCATTGTTCCTTTTGTATATAATGCAACTGTTTCTATATTTTGCCATAAATCCGTTGTTTGACATGCTCAACATACTGTACCTGATCAAAGTCCATTTTATCCTATCTATCCAACCAAAGTCTCAAGCTTAACACAGGAACACAAAGATGTATATAAAGTTGTGGTTGAAAGCATCGAATTTGACCCTCAGAAATGTGATTTGGGGAACAATTAGTTCCTAATTTGACGTATTTTTCCTCGAAATCACAATACCTCAATTCTATTCGGGCAAACAGAGCTCAAAAAATAATTGAAAACTGCCCAAAGTAACATTCAACAGCAAAATAACATATATTTCAGTAAAATCATCACATATACGGTAACGCAATTATCCATTTAGACATCAATTAGACCATGCGAAACGTTTCAATTGGTTTAGTCAATACCTAAGTTGAAACGTTTTGCATTAAACAAAAGAAAGAAAACTTACCACCAAGAGCGCAATAGACTCTGGGCCTTGAAGAGACTGAACGGGCACCAGTGAAGGGTATTGATTTGCGGGAAATGGAAACCGCAGAGGATGATGAGACTGAAGTGATGTAAAGGCAAGACATTTTTATCGAAAATTCTACCGAGATTTAAGCTATACACTTGAATCTGAAAGCTCTTCGCATCTCTCAAAGCTCGTCGGCCAGAAAAATCTCACTGTTCTTCCTCGTTTGTGAGCTGAAACGACAGAGAGAGTCTGTGTGTGTGTGTGTGTGTGTTTCTTCACTTTTGAGTGCGTGAGGATGGGAATGGACAAAAGACGGAAGATAAAGTGGATAAGGGGCAAATCTATCCTACTGGTACTACCGTTCGGATTCGGATCTCTAAAAAAAGGGGTGACCAACCCGACCACCCGTGGAGGAAATAAGACCCAACAGCCCTTTTTTTGTGGGCCTGGACTTGGTTCCTAGCAGCCCATTGCAATGTTTTAGTGGGCCCCACAGGTCTGCAGAGGAACTCAATATAATTAGGTGCAACAATTCTAAATACAAGAATTCTACACAAAATTAAAATGAAAATAACCAATTTAAATATAGTCTTAGTTGAATTAAATAATAAACGTGTAGATATGTAAGACTCGATAAACAAATAGTTCGACACGAACTCAACCTATGGGCCGATAATTACCAGACTTTCACAATAGCCCATGGGCTGTGGGCTATTGACTGGGCCTCGGCAGTGACCAATCTAAATTCGGCAGTACTTAACAACACGACATAGTCCAAATATTGAAACTGGGTTGATGGTTGCACCTGGACCTTTCTCTGTTTCAGTGTATTAGAGAGTCGGCTAAAACCTAAAGGAGCTTGTGGCCCTGCTCTTTGTACATGAAAGTCCCCTCTTCCTCTCATCTATCATCCTCCTCTTCTTCGTCGTCGTCTTTTTTCTTGTGGCCGAATACACAACAAAAGGTTGACAATCTATAGTACCATGATAAGAAGGATAACCCCTCAATATAGAGATTGGTACTATTCTGAAATTTATAACCAAAAAAAAAACTTACATCTCACTTGAAGTACAATTACAACTTAAAAAATCAGCACTACCTTACTAGAATCAGCTTAAAATTCAAATAAAAGATGGGTTAAATGTTAAAATCGATCTCAAACAGTGTCATTTTATTATGACATTGAAGTAATTTTCAATACTTAAACACTCCAAACACTCTAGTAATAACTTGTACATGAAATGTTGTGATTTTAGTCAACGAATAGCCCTTTAAAAAAGAGTGTTGTCATATAACAATAAGTTTGTCAATGGATCGAATTTTGATTTGAATTCGATCTAAATCCGAATTCAATTAGCCGAATATAGACTGATATTTTTTACTTATTATCCGAACCCGAACTCGCATCTAAATCCGATATCCTATATTTTGTGGGTTTGAATTTGGATATATCTATAGCCGATTCGATTAATTCAAAATATTTATAGTTTTTTTGTATAAATATTAAAGTAATTAAGTGATTATTTGAAGAAATTTAATTAAAATTTAGATATAATATGTTAAAATTTAATTAAATTAAGTTATTCGAATCAGATCAGATTTTTAGATTGTTAACAGATTCGCATATGAACCACGAAAATAAAATCCGTTAAATTATCAGTTTAGACTTTAAATTCAAATTAATCAAAGTTTGATCCAAACTCAATCCGTTGATATACCTATAGAACAGTAGTACATTCACAAATTGGACCAACATTGCTGGTCACTGCACATCAACCACAAATAACAATAATTATAGAAACTAATTAAATAAAAAAAAATGTAAAAGCAATTTCGAGGCAAAAGATCATGTATGTGATAGCTAGACTTGAGCCCTAAATTCATGGAAAGAGATAGTTTTTCTTGATATCACTCCCATGTATTTTGACCGTTTAAAGACTGGAATGTCTTACCTATATCAAAAGTTAAATTCGCTTTCAATTTAAAACTTGGGCTTTGAAAACAAAGCAACTTTACTCACTTCCAAAGTAAACATATTTCTAATTATCTTTTGGATCGACTATATAAATATTATGTTTAAGTAATTTATTTAATATTATAATTAGGAAATTGAATTCTTAATTTATAAAAACATAACAATGGTCAAGATTGATCTAATATTCATTTATTTTGATCCAATGATATAAAATTCATCCTATAATTTTTTTTTTTCGCCCAAAAATATTAGCTTCTCTGCATGAATCCCAATGCCAGACAACTCCAGCAATTCACTCCACAATATCAAACAATCATAGCAATCCATACATATCTCTCTTTTTATTTTAATTTTTNAGAAAAGGGTGAATACAGTCAATATCTTAAGACAAACCACAATAGAGCATTGAATACACTACTACATTTTCAAGTCCCTCGAAGATATGCAGATTGAAGCAAAAGAAAGTTTGTAACACTTAGATATATATGTTTTCTCCTAACATAGAGAAACGATAAGGTCTGTAAGATAAGTGCCATCTCAGACACGAAGAAAACCAAAGGTAGTGCTAGTCCATAACTTTCAAGGTCCGAACAGGTGATGTAATAAGAATTCTCATGTCGCTGCATGAATAATATATGATTTGGACAGTGATCATGACAAAGAAAGTATCCTTTTCTCTCAAGCTTTTAGATTCCTCGGACCCAAAAAAAACCACTTTTATTCAATGTCTATGCGAATAGGTAATCCCTTAAATTTTAATGGGTATTGTCCATCGTTATCAAAATCGTACAATTCGAGATTCGATTCGTACGATTCAGTTCGATACAGGTACAAAATAATTCATATTTTATATAAGAATCATTTTAGACTTGAATCGCACCTGAATCGTATGATTCGATTAGTATAGCATGAATCGTACAATTTAATCACTTTTTTTTAATACCTAAAATTTTGCCAAAACGATGTCGTTTTGTCCGTTAAACAGTAAAACGACGTTATTTTGTTTGCAGAGGAATTCACGCCCGAATAAAAACTCAACCTCTTTGCTCGTTCTTTCTCTGACATCGTCCAAAACTCGCCTTGCGTTGTCTAAAGTTAAAGGTCACGGCTAACGGTCTCGCATCATCGGTTGATTTTTGCTCTCAATTCTTTCAGGAATAATTTGTTAGATTCTAATTTTTTGTTTCAAAATGTTGGCTTGTATGTTTTCTCCCAATCAATTTTTTTATTTATTCTTTTTCTATTCATGTTTGTAACTTAATCTATACTGAATATCACTATTTTAGTTTTTGAATAGTCATGGTTCTTTAATAAATTTTTTTTTCAAGTTGTTGAATTTGAAAATGGTTAAGCAAAAAATGAAAATGAAAATGAAGCAAAAGACTAGCGACTTTCCATTTAAACGACATGATTATGNACTTAAAATATTTACTTGATCAATTACAATTATTAAACAAGTAGTGGATTTAACTACAATAACTCACAGTTAAATCAATGACAATGATCGATTAAGCAACAAATCAAGTCCATTTATTTTAGAGGGAATGAGTGATGGCTGATAAAATGATGTTAGGGTATAGGTTCAACTAAGAAAAATGGTTGAGTTTTACTAGTATATAGTATTGAAGTTGTACGACTCATGAATATGTAGATAATGAATCTATTCATAATATAGTGAGGTCTCTCGTTCCGAAATGGTTGCCTAGCTGAAACATTGGAGCAACTAATAACATCATCTCAAGTGGAAGTCCAGAAGAGTAGGTAGACATGATTGTCAAATGCTAAGGATAAACTCTAATTTATTTGGTTGATCTGGTATTCAATATACTATTGCTTTGCCCACAGATATATTATTTCCTTCTTATGAGAGGATCAAACCACACACGAATTTAAACCGTTGAAATATAAATACTTAAGTTACACCCTTATCAACAGTTTAAGTTTTTAGAGTAGATAATTGTTTAACATAGTATAGGAACATGAGATTCTGTGTTCAANCCCCCCCCCCCGGCGCAGGGTAACCAGCAGAATGTTCCAATATGAAAAGCTACCATGACTTGCCTACAGCCTCGGGTATCAAGCCATGTACTCCAAGACACCTAAACTAAAAGCACAATTATTTCTGGGATTAAATAAAAATGATCCACAATTACCAGTAAAACACCACAAATTACGAGTGCATGACATTAATAGTGCATGACCACCTAATTCGGTACCTCTTTGTTGTCCCCCACCCAACTGCAGCAACCCACTTACGATGACACAACGAAAGAAAAAAAAGAAAAACCAACATCCACCAAAGAAGAAAAGAGATCCAAAATAGTCTAAAATCATCGGGTCCAACGGTCTTCTCAATCATCCCAAGTTTCATATTCCAAGGCAGATTTAACTTTAACCTTACCCGCATTATGAGATTTGTCACCAACAGCTATCATATGGTAGGTCCTACAATCATGGGTGGTTCTCACGCTGATAAATAATCATAATGGCACTTCCCTTACCTCTGTTATTTTGGGGTCAAATGTTACTCTCTCTTTCCTGCTCCTTCAAACACAGAAGACATCCATCCTTTTTGAGCCCCTATTAGCTTTTTTACTCAGCCTTCAATTATTAGTAGGGAAGTTAAATATCAATTCCCTGTCTTCAAGCAAGATAGAAACCTATTCCATTTATGACCTGAGCAAACATTAATTAGTGGGTGGGCCTATTGCAGTAAACCTTTGCGACTCTCATAATGAGAACCAATTTTGAAATCAGTGCACTTTTATGTATACCTCTGAACTATAGATCTGTCTGCAATAAACCTCTAGCGGTGAAACAGTTCCAAGTTGCATTTTCACAAATATGCAGTTCTGTTGACTTGGTAGTCCTATAGCACAGGACAGTCATATTACCTTGGGCTGTGAGAAAGCTAGCCTCTTTATTTGGGTAAAATGCTTTGATGAGCCACCTTCAACCACATATGATGCCAGGGTGAAAGGAGCCCCAACAAATCCCAACACTGCTGCTTTGTTATTTACCTGATATAGTATAGAAAAGGGTGAATACAGTCAATATCTTAAGACAAACCACAATAGAGCATTGAATACACTACTACATTTTCAAGTCCCTCGAAGATATGCAGATTGAAGCAAAAGAAAGGT